CCCCCCCCCCCCCCCCCCCCAGCGGTGGCTGGGTCTGACCCGGGGTTAGAGGACAGCTGGGGCCCGGCTGGAAGGGGGGGGTGGTGCGGAACCTCGCAGCGCTCCCCTCCCCCACTTTCTTAAAGGGCCGGGCGCGGGGCTGTGCGGGAAGGGGCTGGCCTCACCCTCCCTGGCCGGCTCAGGGCACACATTGGGGACCTGGGAGCGGAGGCGTGGCGGGCGGGCCGGCCAGAGTGGCCGCTGTCGCCTCGGGCTCCGCTCCCGCTACCCGCCCGCCTGCAGTCCCCCCGCCCTTCCCCGCCCTTCCTGCTCCTCCCTCCCTCCTTCTCTCCTTCCTTCCCTCCCTCCTGCCGTCCGTCCCCCCATCTCTGCTCAGCTTCTCCACAGCCTCGGCTCTGACACCTGAAGGGACTGGAGCGGGCGCGGGGAGTCCCGACAGGCGGCGGCGGAGCGGGACGGTCAGTCCAGCGGAGGCCTCCGCATGGCCCCGCCATGAGAAGCTGGACCCAGCGACTGGGACCAGGAGCGGTGAGTGGGGCCGCGGGGCCACCTCGTCCCCAGGGCCCTCGTTCCCTGGGACCCCGCCTCTCCCGAAGTCGGGTTGGGGGCCAGGAGGGGATGCTGGGGGCGGGGGAGGTAAGGCATGCTGGAGGGCGCCGCCCTCCGCCCTCCATGCCCGCTGGGGTCTGCTAACAAAGCTACATTTTGAGATCAATTCCGTGGCGGCTGGAGCATCCGAAGGATACGGTTGTCATGGAGATGGGGCCGTGAGAGGAAGCCCGGGGCTGGCCGGGTCTGGGCCAGGGAGTGGGGGCGCCACCAGAGAACCCCAGGCCAGCCTGCAGGGGCATTTAGGGCCAGCCGGCCCCGTTGCCTTCTGGGCTCTGCCTCCGGATCCCCCCCTTTTGTATAATCTGAGGTACATGTGTGCATTGATGGGGTGCCAGTGGCAGCTTGGTGGCGGGGGACCCAGGGTGTTGGGTGGTTGCCGGGGCCTGCTGGCAGCTACCTTTACCACGGAGCAGCTTTGAGGATTTATTTCTGTTTCCAGTTTCCTAACTTTGACAGCCTGGCTTGGCGGCCAGGCCTTCCCCGCTCTGGACTCTGCTGCTGGAACAGGGGCTTGCGTGGGGGCGTGGCAGGCAGCGGGCAAGGCTGAGAAGGCACATAATGGCCGTGGCAGCCTCAGGGAGGGAGGGGTCCTTAGAGCCCGCTGCTGGGGCTGGGGTGGGGCAGGGAATCCAGATGTGGGGGCCACCCTGCCCAGCTGGCCCCCTCCTAAAAGGAGGTATTCTGACTGTTGCTGTCCCTGGAGGATCTGGGGACTCCCTGAATCAGAACAGGGAACATTGTCTCCACACAGGCCCCGGGGAGGGGGGGCACTGCCCCAGCCTACCCCTTTGTCTTGGGGCCGTCTTGGGGGGACCCTGGAAGGAAACTAGGGACAGAAGCACTAGCCACAATGGAAGTGGGTCTGAAATTCCTGGCAGGCTCAGGAGAAGCCAAGCTGAGCTTGATGGGTGGGTGAATGGGGAGCAGGGAGAGGGCTCAGGGCTTGGCCAGGGCAGATGGGCAGCCTGGGTCCAAGAAGAGGCATTTGAACTTTCTTAGGTTCCCTAGCTCCTTCTTCCAGACCCTGGAAGCAAGAGCTACTTAATGGGGGGGTATTCAGGCAGCTTAAGGGAGAGTGGGTACGAGGCATTATGACTACCTCCAAGCCCACCCCCTATCCCTGGGCAAATACAGTCATTCTCCACCCTCTTCCCTGGAAGGTTAGGAGCCCTACCTCCCAGGGAAGCTACAAGTTCTGTGACCTGGGATCTCTGAATCAGTAAAATGGGCCAGCTGGCCTCCCCTACTCACCTCCTGTCTCTGGAGGAGAGGCCTGCCCACCCAAGAGCCCCCTTTCCCCAGTGTATAGGAAAATATATTGACAGCACTGAGAGGGAGGGGCTCCGAGGGGGGGACATTTCCTTGCCGAGTTTCCGTGCATGGAGCACTACCACTGGCCGAGTACTCTCATACGACCACGTTTAGAGGGAGATACTACCAGTATTCCCATTTTGTGGAGGTGGATACTGAGGCTCAGGATTTGTACCTGGGCAGAACTGTCTGCTGCTTGGACCTGTGTCCCCAATCTCATTCTCTTCTTCCCAGAGATGCAATTTAGGAGGGAGGTGACTGTGTGCATTTCCATGTGGAGCATGGGAGTGACCTTGGGGGAAACTGAGGCACTAAGCTAGGGTCTTCTAGAGAAGAAGTCCCATTCAGGATGTTTGCCTGCAGGAAAATGACACGGCCTCCCGTGACAGAAGATGTTCTAGACATCCTTTGCCAGATGGTCTTTTCCAGGAAAATCTGTTTTGAGCGGCATCTTATGTCTGGGGCTCCATATTTAGCCTGGCTCCTCACACAGGAGGATACACTTAGACTGTCGCCCCTTGAGGGGTGTTTGGGGGGAGTAGTGAGCCTGGGCCGGTCCTGGCTTCTTGCCACAGCTCAGGCAGAGGTGGGGCAGGGCTGCCTTGCTGGTCTCCCTGGGACCCAGCTGTTTCCTGCAGGGCCCTTGTCCTTCTAAGTGGGTTTGCTCACGGGTAAGTCTTCCTAGGGATCTGATCCTTTTTAGGTGGTGAGCCACTCCAGGGCTGTGCTGGTCCGACTGACTCTGGCATCCAGCCGTGGCCTGCTGGAGTGCAGGACTGCCTCTCTGACTCATGCCCGGGCAAGCGGGGCCTTGAGCTCCCCTCTTTGGAGTGTGTCCCTCCACTCCTTTCCTGCCCGCCTGGCTTTTTGTCTCGTCACACCTGGCAGTACAATGAACACCCACCTATATACCCTTCACCTAGAGACCTAGATTTGCCAACTGTTGACATTTTACCCACATTTGTGTTTCTCTGTCTGAACCTTTTGGAAGTAAGTTGTAGACATCATAACATTTCACCTCTGAGTAATTCAGCATGAATTTCCTGAGACAGGGACATTTTTCTATATAATGACTATATATTGTCATACTCAAGAAGTTTAATAATGACGCAGTTTCACCTAGTATGTAATCCATATTCAAATTTCTCTCGTTGTACCAGTAATATCCTTTATAGCTGTTGTAAAAATAAGTTTTGATCAAGAATCACACATCTCATTTAGTCACTTCTCCTTTAATCTGGAACAATCGCCCTGCCCCCCCCCCTTTTTTTTTAAAGTCTTTTATAACATTGTCAATTTTAAAGAGCCCCAGTCACTCTTCCTGTAGAATGTCCCACATTCTGAATTTGTCTTGTTGTTTGCTCATGAGTAGATCCACCTTAAACATTTTTTGGCAGGAATATCCCATAGGTGATGTTTGCCTCCTTCTCAGTGCTTCTCATCGGGAGGCAGATGTCCTCAGCTTGTCCTGTAATAGGTGGTCAGTGAAGTGAGGCCACTTGGCTAAGGAATCCCTTTGTTTCATTCCATTCCTCTCTCTTTCCGCTTCCAGAAGCTTCATCCACTTGGTCATCCACGCACCAGGTCAGCAAAGCTGACTGAACCCCTACTTCAGACCACATACTGGAGAAGGGTGATTCAGCAGAGCCTGATGAGGTCTTCAGGGAACTCCCAACCTCAGGGGTGGTGTGGGGGTGAGCCACAACTGGGGGCAGGAAGTAGTGAGGGAGAGGGGTTGGAGCGGGCCAAGGCAGGAAGGAAGGGGGCGGGGCCTGGAATGGGGGATGATGAGCTGGCCCTTTCTCTGAAGACCCTGGGAGCCACCAAGGGCTTTAGAGAGGAGAGTAATGGGACAGGTGTGTGTGAGGAGGATGGAGGGGGACTGGCAGGGCCAGTGTGGTGGACAAGGACCGGTCCGGCTGCCATGATGTGGCCCAGTACGAGAGGTAGGGCACTGGATTCGGGGCTGCTGCGTATGGCACGCAGAGGGAACAGAGTCGGTGGTGTGGTGGCCCTGCTAGGACCCAGATGTGGCAGGTGGGAGGTGGGGAGGAGGATAAGGAGAGATTGAGGAGGCCGAACGGATAGGCACTGGCATCTGACTGGCACTGGGGGGGAGAGCTGTCTTGGATGGCCTGGGAAGGGTGATGGAGGATGCAGTTTTGAATGTGTGGGGTCCACGTTACTTTCCAGGTTAGGGGAACGGTGTGTGAGAAGCTCATTTCTCAGGTTTTGGTGGCCACCTGTGGCCGCCCTCTCAGAAGCTCATTTCGGGATGAGGGCAGAGGGAAGGCCACTCATGACTCACAGCAGGGGACAGGTGGGGGGCTCTCAGGCCCCAGCAGGGGAGGGAGTTTCAGCGTGGGCCCAGGGGCCACCATAAAACTCAGGATAATCCCTCCTGTGCAGACCCCCAACTCCCTTACCTCATTTGCTTCTTCATACTTCCTTGGTGAAACCCCAGCCCTGGTTAAATCCAATGTCCCGCCTGCTCCACATCTGTACCTGTGCAGCTGAGCGGGGCTGAGAGAAACCACTACCCTGCCTGCTGTCACTTGAAGTACAAAACTGTGAGCTTCAGGAGAGTCCTTAGTGCTGTCCCACATTCCCACCATGGGTCCCGAGTCCATGTCCTCTCTCCCTACCTGCCGACTGTTTCACACTTTGCCTTCTACCCTCCATCCTTGGCCCTCTTTCCCCATCCTCCCTCTCAGCTGGTGATACCGCTTCCTACTTCTTTGAGAAAATAGAAGCAATCAAGACTTTCTCAGACTCACAGTGCTGCAGTCACCCATCTACCGCACCTGCACCCACGACTCTGCCTTCCTCCTGTCGCTGGGGGTGAGGCGTTCCTGTCCCTGGTTAAGGCTACCCCTCCCCTTGTGCGCTAGATCCTGTCCCCTTGTGCCTGCTCGAGGGCATCGCTGAAGCCAGGGCCCCCTCCTGCATAAGTTCCTCCTGTACTGGGTCCTTCCACCAGCAGATACTTGCTCAGATGGCTCTCTTGTGTTCTCCATCCAGCTGCCACAGCATCTCTGCTCTCCTTCGTAGCAAAGCTCCCCAGAAGGGTTGTCGGGACTCATTATCTCCTGGTCTTCTCCTCCCACCCTCTCTCTCTCTCTCTCGACTCCACTCCAACTGGGCTTTCACCTCCTTCCACCAACTGTTCTTTTTAAGGTCACCACTGACCTCCATATTGCTACCCTCAGGGGCCAAGTCCTCATCTGAAGCATCTGACACATTCAGTTTCTCCTAATTCTTGAAATATTCTCTTTCACTTCCAGCACATCCATTCTTGTTTGCCTCTAGCCTCGTGGTTGATCCTACACAGTGTCCTTCTGCTCAACCCCCCCCCCGCCCCCCGCCGCCTCTGAACACTGCAGTGTCACAGCACTCAGCCCCTGCATGGCTGGTCTTCCTCATCTACATCCACTCCTGTGCTGATCTCATCAGGTCCTGTGGCTTTAAGTACACCTACCTACGTGCTGCCAGTTCCCACATTTATATCCCCACTTTTGAGCTCTCTCCTGAGCTCCAGTAGTTCTTTTAGCATCTCCGCTGCCATGTCTACTAGACCCTTCAAACTCAACTTGTCCAAAGTGGAGCTCCCGATCTTCCTCCCCAGACCAGCTCCAGCCAGTCTTTCCCATCTCAGGCATGGCAGTTCCACCCTGCCCAAATGCTGTTGTCATTCCTGACTCCTCTCTTTCTCTCCTGCCCCATGTACTGTCCATCAGGGGGTGAGGCTGTTTACCAGGCACCACATCTTCTGGCAGTGGGCTATGGCTGAATAGGAGGGACTCTCTCAACGATGGGCATGGGCGGCAATAGTGGAATGGCCCACTACAGCCAATTTCACACCTGCTGGCTTCCTGCACATGCTGCTTCCTTCATCCAGCCTCAAGGAGACCACAACCTTTGTCACACCCTGTGCTGAAGTCCTAAAGCAGAGACAGGAGCAGGTGGGCGAAGTGGGGGGGAGGGGGTACTCCGCAGGGGTGGGGTCAAGTGGGGCAACAACATCAAGAGGTTGGGGAGGGGTGGGGGAAAAGTCAGAGGGGAAGATGCAGAGAAGTAGAGAGGTTTTGGGGAGTGGTGGACAGACAGAATGTGAGGGTCTAGGGAGTAGGGGATAAGTAAAACTTGGGCAAAGAGAAGGGACGATGAAGTTTCTTGGTTCATCTCTCTTGGCTGTTGAGCCAGACTTGGAGACAGCAGCTGCTCAGAGATGGAGGCCCTGAGATCTGCCCTCAGTCAGGTGTATCAGCTGAGGCAGGGCTGACTGGGAGGACTTGTGCTTGCTCAGTCCATTATAGCCCTTGGTGTTGAACTCTCAGTCTGCAGGCTCATGGGTCAAATGGGGCTCAAGAAGCAGAGTGAGTCCCAGGTACCCTATGAAGCTCCAAGAAGACAGAGCAATGCCAGTCACTTAGCCAGAACAGCCAAGTCCCACGCGGTCCCAGATAACGGAGGGCTCACCCTGTATGGAAGTCAGCTGGGGGTAGAGTCCCCAGCTACAAAGCTAACTTGGGATTTGACAGCAGGTGTGAGTTTCATCAGGGTTGAGGGCCCTCCAAACCAGCATGCAGATGTATGCAGATGCTAAGCAAAGGAGGGTGCCAAGTGGCTGGGGGGTGGGGAGAGAAGCACATGGGGAGATGTTAAGGAATGACCTTTGCAGAGTTGGGCCCAGGGGCGCTTGAAAGTCCCAGCAGGCTGAGGGGTACATACAGATAAAGATGCAAATGTGCACCCTGCCCTGGGGACCACTGCCTGCCCAACCATGAGAGAGAGAAGGCCGTCCAGATGCCCACAACCCAAGGCAAAGCTGGTTTCCCAAAGGCCAAACTGAGTGGAAGAAAGCAGGGTGATGCTGAGCTCCTTAATAACCCCTGGCTGGCACCACCTGAAGGGCTTGGGCACCTTTTCAGGGAAGCCTGTGGCCCTGGCCTTGCCCTGTACCTAGGGTTGCTCTTTTGCCTTGAGATGGAAACGAGGAGGGAGCCTGGCCTGGGGTGGGAATGTTGGACTGTAGGGTCCTCACCTGCCTCAGGAAAGGGTGGCACTCTCTCTGGCCCACTTCCTGGGCCCTGAGGGAGCCATTCTCCTGCCTCCATCCTCAGGCTGGGCCCCTGAAGCCCTTGCCTCAGAAGCCACTTGACAGGCTGCCAGGGACCAATGTCTGCAGGGCCCACTGAATGTCTTGTGCTGCTCTCTGCACATTCCATCCCCAGTGGGGGCAGCCAGCCCTTTCCTCTGCAGGCCTGAGAGAGGGTTCTGGGAAGCAGCGCTTGTGCCCGGCTCTGAGCTGAGCGCTGCACCCACACCATCTACTTCAGTCCTCCCTGCAGCCCCACAAGGCAGATGCTCTTAGCACCCCGCATTTTACAGACGACGGCCCTGAAGCTCTGAGAGGTGAGCTGCTTTCCTGAGTTCACACAGCCTGTGGGTAGTGGAGCTGGGGTTCGAAGGCAGGTCTTTCTGACTGTACAGTCAGGGCACTGACCCACTGTCCTGGACTCCCAGTCTGAGGCCCTTGTCGCTGTATGAGGTGCTCCAAGTTGGGCAGACCCAGTAGGTTTGGAGGGATTAGGGTCACTTTGAGGAATGGAAGGGGGAGGTTCCCAAGGCTCACCCCTTCCTATTATCCTGGTTACTCCTCCTGCCCCAAGCAGCTGGGACGTTGAAGAGGCATGTGACCAGGCTGGTCTGTGCCTGGAGATAGTGCTTAGAGCTCTGACCTCCAGACTCCTTGGCTGACAGAGGCTTGGGGGGAAGCATGGTGAGCATGGGGGACCAGGGCCTCCACTGAGGGGTCTGCCTGTGAACTTCCTGCTGTCAGTGGCCCAGCCCTTTCCTGGGGGAGTCCTGGAGCTTAACCTGGACCCTGTGAATGGCATGGGGCACAACTGGCCAAAGTCTGTTCTGAGCACTTACCACATGCCAGCTCTTTTCACTGATCATCTTACTTAACTCTTCGTGTGTGTATGTGACAATCCCAGCCCATGTGCAAAAATCTAGGTGAGCTAGGGAGTCCATGTAGTAGGAGTTTGGGGAAGGGCAGTGGGACTAATGGGGGTGTCCAGAGTGGGCTCCCAAGGGGCTGGGAATAGCTCTGACAATGGAAGACTTCCAGCATTTTCTTTGTCTTGCTAGTAGCCCTTATGGAACTCACTGTGAGTGTCCAGTGTCAGAGGTGGGAGGTCTTTGAAGACTGTCCTATTTGTGGAGTTCATGCCCAAGGCATATGGATGGGCTTCAGGGGTCCTCGAGCCTCTCAAAAATACTCAAAATGTTGCGCACATATGTGAGAGTCTGGGTGGGATCCGCAGCGCCATCAAATGCTCAAAGTCCAAGACTTGAAAATGGTTCGGAATCTCTGATGTATATGGGAAAATGAGGCCAGAGAGGGGTTTCATTTACCCAAACTCTGCTAGCACATTGGAGGCAAAACCCATGTCGCAGATTTGCCACTATAATGACATTCCAGAATGATTTTCTCTGATCCCACTCCCCTCTACATATAGCCTGCCTGGCCTCTAAGTACCCTTGGACATCCCCCAGGCTCTTAGATTTTGCCTGTTCTGGGTAGTACTCAGCATGATGGGTTCCCCACCTCAGCTCTGCCTCCTGTGTTCCCATCTCTACCAAGTGGGCCTGTATTCCCCATCTCCTCCCAAATCCACCCAGCCACCTGAGGCTACTGGGTGCTGCTGTGGTCAATGTGGGTGCCTATCTTCCCCAACCCCCACCCTAACCTGAGGCAATGAGTTGTCTCTTTTCTGCTCCTGGCTTCTCCCAAAGCAGAATGATTTTAATCCGAGCTGCCCAGTGATGTTGGTCTAGCTGGCCTGAACCTTGCCCTTAGGCCTGTAGGCTCCTCATCTCTACCCCATCACCCAGGGGGACTGCCTCATGAGTGGCTGCCCAGCTCCCGTCATGTGTGTTTGTGTGTGTGTGCATGTATGTTTGTGCCCCAAAATGCCTGCACCCTATGCTTGCTCACAGACATGAACACAGGCCTCAGTACCCATGCATTCTCCCCTCTATCTTATAGAGCATGTTGGGTCCTGGAACCTCTTTGCTGGGCCCCCTTCTCCAGACCTTCCCTTGGGCTTCCCACAGTCCCTGGCTTGGATCTCTACATGGAAGTGACCATACAAGGTATTCCTATGACAGTCCAACGTCATTCCAAGCAGAATGCCTTGCCACTTTCCAGCTTTGTGACCCTAAGCATGTTCCTCAACGTCTCTTAGCCCCTGCTTACAACAGTGATGATGATAATCTCCAGGTTATTCATTCATCAAATATTTAAAACAGTGCCCGCTGTTTGCCAGGCTTGGTGCTAGGCTCTGGGGGAGACAGTGAATGTGACATAGTCCCCACCCTCCTGAACTTACATCCTACTGAGGGAGATGGGCAGGAAATAAGGAAGCAAATAGAAAAAGGAGTTTCGGTTCTGCTAAGTGATGCTTAGCAGACCTGATGCTCGGTGGAGTAGTGTGAGAGTGCAGGGTGGTGAGAGAGGGCCTCTCTGAGGAGACAGCACTGGAGTTGAGCCCTAAGTGACAGGAGGGGCAGTCACTTAGAGATCTAGGGAAAGAGCATTCTAGGCCAAGGGTACAGCTGGTGCAAAGGCCCTGAGGTGGGAATGAGCTCAGGGAGCAGAAAGAAGGCCAGTGTGGCTGATGGGGTGGGGGCCGGGGAGAGGGCAGTGAACCAGCTTAGACAGGCTTTTTTAGGCCATGCTAAGGAGAATGAATTCTAATCGAAGGGCAGTGAGAGACATTGGAGGGTTATGAGTGAGAGAAGGATATAATATGATTTATGTTTTCACTGTTCATTCCAGCTGCCATGGGGAGAGTGAGGAGGGGGACAGGGTTGTCTTAGGCACAGCTGAGACCCAGAAAGTGGCTAGTTTGGCATTTAGCCCTGGCCCTGCCAGTGTTCCATTATCATCCCAGGTCCACCTTACTTGGAGCTGAAAAAGAAGCCACTGAGCCCAGGGTCATCTCAAGGGCAGTGGGTAGCAGGAGCCCCTGCTTGGAGCAGGGCCTGGTTTATGCTGAGAGAGAATGCAGGGGATCTAGCCACTGCCAGCCTGTCATTTGTAGGCTTCTGCTTGGGATCAGTGCCCTGTGGCCCAGCTGTACTTCCTCCCTTGCTCTTGCCAGCAGGGTTGGAGGGGGCAGGGTCACTGCTTCGGGCAGAGTCTCCTGGTTGAAGATTTGAGCCCTTGATCTTGTGGGAGGATCTGACGGAGGGCCTGGGAAACTGGGGGCTCATCCTGCACCTCCAGCTCATCCAGGTGCAGAAGGAAGTTATTCCTGAGTTCTAGAGCCAGCTCCTCAGCTGTGTGACCTTGGGCACAGCCTTTCCTGGTTCTGTGCCTCAGTCTTTCCATTTGTCAAATGTAGTGGTGGAAAGAGTGGATCATAGCTGCCTTTTCCCTTGATCTCTATAGGAGTTTGTTCTTCCTTGGATTTCTGCTTTCTTTGCATTCATGACCTTAAGCTCTCCTACCAGCCTTGGGGAAGGAGAGCAGAGGTGATGCTCGCTCCCATTCTACAGATGGGTTCATAAAGGCCAGTGATGCATCTCAGGCACATGATGGTTCAGAGTGAAGGCTCAGGGTATTGTTTCGCACCTCTGACCTGAAGCCCCCCTTTATGCACCCCTCTCTTGGGCTCAGAAAGAGAGGGGGTGTCCTGGCTCAGCTATTTCTGGGCTCAGCTGGCCCTCAGCCCAGGCAGGGACTCTGGGCCCCCCGCCCAGAGTGGAGCTCAATGCTGCCCCTTGTCTGCCCACCCCCAGAAACTGAGGAAACGGCCCAGTGCCCGGTGTTGGCAGAACCTCTATCCCACTCCCAGCTGCAGGAGGACAAGGCAGGGCAGGTAGGGCTGGAGCCAGCCCAAGGCAGCTGCTGGACGTTGTGGGGGTGAGGTAGGGGCCTCCCAAGATGTCCTTGATTTGTTCATAACCTTGGCTTTGGGGTTGGTGTAGCATGAGCATAAGGGGAAATCACTTATGCTTTCAAGTCTCAGGCTTCACTGAGACCTCAGACAGAGCCCTTGCCAATGGGGAGGCACTTGGTCCTGCTGGGCTCAACCTCCATGTGTGGTGTGGGAGCTTGAGGCACCCTGGTGGAATTGGGTTGAAGCCCTGTGCCCCAGATCCAATGGGCATCCAGGCCCCTGGACTAGAAAGCAGGCCAGAGGACTAGAACGCAGGCAGCAAGCCAAAAGTCCCCACTCTCCCTCCTCTTTCCTTTAGAAATCCTCCCCCCCCACAAAGTCTCAGTTGAGGAGATGACCTCCTGTTCTCCCCGCTCTGAGTACACAACCGGAGGGAACAGATTGAAATAGCAACTGCAGCATCAGGGATTTAGGGCAGACCAGAAAGAAACCCTCACTTAGGGCCGAGCCCCTTGGGGTCCCCGGTGTCCTAGGATCAGGGCCCAGATAGCCTACCGCCTGGATTCTTCAGAGTTTTTTTGAATCTGTAGATGTTCTTTTTTTGTTGTTGTTTCATTTTCTTTTCTTTTGTTTGTTTTGTTTTGTTTGAAGTAAAATCTTACACTCGTGCACTCTTCAAAACTCTAGGAGAAATGCTCAGGGTGGGTGGGCTGAGGCCCCAGATCCCTGTCTACCCTGCCCTCTTTTCTCCATGTGTGAAAACCGAGGGTTAAATGAATCTTAAGTGGTCCTGTAGTGGCAGATCTCCCCTCCAGGGCCTGGAAGCCCCCAGAGAAGTAGACTGACCTTCCTATCCAGGCTCATCTTCTTTAAGGGGAAAGTTCCTCTTGGAGTCTAACTCATTGTTTACTAAACTCTTTTTTTTTTTT